GATTAGCAGTATCATTCTCGTAATAATACCTTTGATCATGAACATGATATTCCCATTTTAAAACTGTCACTAACACTTGGGAACATGTACACTTTTACTTCCCAGTCCCCTGTAGCCCCACTCCCAACTCTCCTCTGGGTAATAAATCTCAGTACTGCAGTGTCAGATTATATTTTTTCTTTCCCCTTCCTGGTTCTTCTCATCCTCTGCCACATAACTAGTTTGTCTGCCGCTCCCATGTGTTCAAGGATATGGTGGCAGGCATAGTGACAGCTAATTCATTAGAGTGATTAGACACTAGATCTCACGCCAGAGGTGCGGCTGTGGAAAGGAGATAAGCATGTACATGTCAGGACCACTTCAGCCAAAGCTTGCCCTTAACCTTGTGTGTCATGTACATGTCGTCTCTGGGAAGAGAGCTTCAAATACCAATTTTAGAAATTAAAATGATGCCTAAGCTGAACATGAATATCAGGCCCCTCAATAAATGTTTTCTCTACCCATTCATTTGCATGGAAATTCTTTAAGGAAATAGCTAGACTTGGGTTGGTATTTAATTCAGGATTACACAATAGTCCTTTATTATAGAGTTCAAATGCTTTTAATATGCTTGAGTTCTTTTGAGAAATAAAGTGAACCTTTCTTAAACAGTAGAACCACTTTCTTGTATCTTTCTTTTATTATAGATTTCATGGAAGTATCTGCTACTAGCTGGCTTGTTTTATTTTGCTTTTTGAAATTTTTTGTATCATGTTGAGAATCTGCAAGGCAGTTATGTAAGGGAGTCCAAATAACTATTTCAATTGCAGCTATAATATTTATTACATGAAACTTTTCATTTAGTTATTTTTTTACAAGATTGGAAGGAAATTTGTTTCATAGCAAAAATATACACTCAAGGGGTGAGTGTTGGGCGTATTTTTAGGCAGTACTGGGGTTTGAACTCAGGACTTCTCACTTGCTAAGCAGGTGCTCTACCACTTGGGCCATACTATGACTTCTTTGATTGAATTAGTTTATAGTCTAAAATAGAGAAAGGGGACCACAGAAGGCTGGCTCAAATCTTTGCTCTTTGCTTCTTTGTCCTCATTCTGGAATTTTTGATTCTTTTTTCACTGATAGAACACACATGTTCTGATGGCTTCTTCAGATTTCTTTTCTTGAGGCCCCTTGTGTGTTGCTGTTGCTTCCATGCAGAAGCATCTAGGCAGGAGCTTTCCTCTTGTCCCTTCTGCTGGCCATCTCCACTGGAATTGTAGTCTGAGCTGATGGGAAGTAGTGTCCAGCAAGCTCAGTTTTACAGATAAGGAACTTGAGGCAGATATGTGTTTGACAGCTGACTCTCTGAGGGGGAAAAGCCCTCGTATCCTATTTGCTGATTTCTTTGGTGTAAATTCTGCTATTACATCTGCAGTCAAGCTATTAACATGACCGCTGAACATAAAATTGGAAAAAGTTGCCCAGAAACAAACTATTAGATAGTCTGTCCCTTTGACAGATTGAAAAACATGTCTCTGGATCTCAGATTTTAGTAAAATGTAGTGAAGCAACTTAGGAAGTGATGGGTTATGAGAAATTTCTTAACCACTATTTTAAAATACAACTCATTCCATAGTAAGGTTTTATTATTTAATTTTAAACAATGTCTGTGTTGAACAACTGGCTGTCAAAGTTCCTGAAAATTTAACTGTCAGCTCTCTTGGATGGGTCTGGCACACCAGGTGGGACTCAAAGAAGTTGCTGTGTTGTCAAGACCCACTGTGGTTTGGCAGAACTGGCATTAATAGTTGTCTCTGGAATCTGAACTTCCCTAGAAGTTATCTGTGTTTCTGTTCATTCATTTGTTTATTTATCACATTTTCCAACAATGTATGAAAGGAGTGATTACCAGCTCCTGTTTTCTGTTGAGAAAATAAAAGTTAGAATACTTGAATACTCAAAGGTGGACAGCGGGAAGCAGATTAGATTTAGAGCCATAGATGAATCCTGGCTTTGAGTCTTCCCCACACAGCTCAACAACAGTGTAATCTTGATCAAGTTAGCAACTTCCCCAGGCTTCAGTTTTCTAGTCTGTTAGAAGAAGAAATTGGACCACATGAACATGGAATATCTTGTGTAGGTCTTAGAAAAACATGGTCCATTTCTTAGATCCATCAATTCAACAAGTATTTGCTTAATATCAATTATGTATATACTTGGTATGGAATCTAGGCAGGATTAAATACAAATATAATAATAATTATTAACATAACAGCAAAGCCTTCTAATTTATCAAAGAAAAACTTTACCGAGACTCTGAGGTTCTGTGGCTTTAGGAGATCAGCACACAACTCAGCAGAATGTTAGAGAAAGAATTAACTTGTTCTAGAAGAACAATCAGAACCTTATTCCTAGGAAACGCAAGAAGTCAAAACCAGGTAGTGATAAGGAATAAGGAACAAGCCCTGTTTTTACATGTCTGTTACTTGATTCATTGTATTTTAAGAAAAAGCAAAAGCAATCAGATAACTACTTTTATTCCGATTAGAAGACTGATTATTGTAGAAAACTTTGAAATTCATAAGAAATGTAAAATAAGGAGAAAGTACTACATATCCAATCTTGTATTCTGCTTTTCTTTATCTTATACTTTATAGTGTTCTCAGTAGAGTAATTTCCATTGCTGTATATAATTCCATTTTTGGTGTGTAACTAACTTAAAGTTATCTGATGTCTTATTGTTGTACTTTAAATTGTTGACAGTCTTTAATATTCTAAAAGACACTGGGATAAATAGCTTTGTTTAGTATCAAAAAATTGTACATTGGATGCATGGTTTCCAGCTGTGATAATTAAGGGTTAGTAAGAGAGTTTTAGTAAATAATGTACTTTGGAGTTTTATTTGATTCTACTATTATTGTTTGAATTTTATTCTGTTTCTAAACATTTGTTAATAGGAGCATTTTGCCTGCATCCTTCCATGTGATATATTTGAGCTAGATATAGCAACAATGTTTTTATATTATTTGAAGCAAATATGATGAAGTATATGATTAACAGGTTTTTTTCACTCTCACTGGGAAATAGCTTCTGTCTACTACCGGGTTTATTAGTTTATAAAGTGTTTGATAAATGTTTAGTAAATAAAACCATTCGAGCTAATTTAGAATAAGCAAAAGCATTTGAGAAGAGTGTTTTTAAAACCCATTCCTGGGTTCATGGTAATGGCTTGCTGTGTCATTAGGAGAGATGACAGCTGAGCAAAGCTGAGGAATTCTGACTGCTAAATGAGGACTGTGAAAGGAACATGTTGTTCTAATTCACCTACATGGGAAACCATGACTTGAATAGTTACCTGATTAAACATTAATGAGATCTACTAAATCAACCTAACTCTTATGTATTAGATTTATGTCAATTAAAACTAGACCAGTTTTGCCTCTTTCTTTAACATCTTTGAGTCAACCTTTGCTTACTGGGAAGCACTGTGACTTACACTGGTTATTTAAATATTAGTGGCTCCATTAAGGGGGGTGGAGGTTTGCTCTGGAAGACTGGAAAATTACATGGCAGAATTGGTTTCTTGTTTCTGCCCCCCGGGGAAGGGGGAACCCTCTTACTGGAAGAGTTTCTTTCATTATCATTTTACCACCACTTTTTTTTTAAATAAATTACAGTAGAATTGTTGATTTTGAGGCGTTCTTTGAAAGTAGCTATACTATTAAAGCCATCAGTATAATAAGTTTACATAATTTAAAAAGTGTCTTAGTGCCATAGTAACCATTACCCTTGATCTTCTTGGGGACTTAATTTCAGTTTCTAAATTCAATTTGTTCTTTATTACAGTCAATAATAGGCGAAAGCATGTTTTCAGCAACATACTGTATTTGTGTAGGCTTATTTACATTCAGTATGGGGAATTTTATTAAGTAATCCTGAGAGACATGACAAGGGTCATATATTCAATCAAATTATGATTATAAACTTTTATCTTGATGGAGAAAGGTTGCTGAAAAGCTTTTTAAACTTGCCACAACCAATATTTTCATATTATTGCAAATTGGATTGTGTTAAACATTGTGGTTAACAGACTTTTACACACTTTGTACATTTAAGATGCTCTAATGGCTTGGCAATTTAAGGCACTGAAAATTAAATTAGGTATTGTATTTGCATAATTGTGTGTTTCTTTTTGTATCCAGAAATCTGAGTGATGGGACATCTATTCATTTGATGTATTTTATTTAGAAGTTAGAGCTAAGAACTGGAATCATGCTTATATAGCACTGGTGTAACCATGACAAGATACTCAGCAGGGTTGAAACTAGGGGAAGGCAAGAGAGGCACCTGTCTCAGGTGGAAAATTTGAGAGAGCATCACAAAACCCCAGTAATCAAATTAAATAGTATTTTATGCAGTATTTTAAAAAAATTCATGTGATGAAAAATATATGGTGGAAAAAATAAGTCAATATTTTAGATAAAAACAGAATTCTATCTAACATGTACTTTACTCACCTTCCCCCTTAGTCCTGGCCCTAACTGAGGCCAAGTCCTGGTTTCTTTACTTTCAGGTCTTCAATGAGATAATCCATTGAGTCACATTTTCCTTATCTAAAATTGGTGACACTCGTTCCTACTTTCCTGGTGGAGTTATTAGGAGATTCAAATCAGTGAAAATACATGGAAAAACACATTGTGAACACCATTTATAAATCTATGTTTAAGTTCAGATAACTCATCACATCATTTTAAGCCATCGTGCAATTAGCCAGATGATTACTCTTAACAAACATAAGATCTGAAGATCTTGGAAATTTTTGTTGGAATGCTTTGTTTGCTAATGAATTTTGAGGCTTAATTTCTTGAGTTTAATTATCAGGTGGGAATAGAAAATAGGATCCTGCCTTTCTTCCTTTTTCTTTTTTTGTTGTTGAATATAAAATTTGCTGATTTATAAGAGATAGAGGAAATAGCCAAAAATCCATTGCTTCTTCTAAGTTAACCTACACGGTGCCCAACCTACAGGTAGACACCTGAGGTCTCACCTTTGCCAAGCTGTCCCATGATGCCTTCCCTGTTTCTCGCATCTGACTGAGTTCTACATACCTTCTATTCACTTTGACCTTGGTAAGGCCTTCCTAAGACAGCTTGTCTGAAGTGTGCTCTCAATGCTCTCTCCTCCTCTAGTGACAGACAGAATGGTTTCTGTTACTCATTTGATGACCAGTTAGAGTCCATGTTGACTTTAGGCATTATCTAATCCTCTTTACTTTCCAAATCACATTTTTTTTGGTGGTGCTGGGGTTAGAACTTAGGTATTATTAGGCAGGCACTCTACTGCTCGAGCCACACCTCTAGCCCTTTTTGCTCTGGTTATTTTGGAGACAGGCTCTTGCTTTTTGCCCAGGCTGGCCTGGACCTCGATCCTTCTAATTTAAACTTCCCACCATAGCTGGAATGGCAGGCATGCATCACCATGTGGCCCCACCCCTGCCCCGCATTGAGATGGGACTCTCATGAATTTTTTGCCTGGGCTCTCCTGGAACTAAGATCCACCCTAGCTCAGCTTCCCATGTAGCTTGGGATGACAGGTGCCCCCAGTACCTAGTATCCAGATCACATTTTTAAAAACATAACCTGTTTTCCAGTTACATTGTTAGATTCCAGTTACATTGTTAGATTGTGAAGGTCAGGATGAGTAGGGATTGGGTCCCTCTTTCACCATAATATCTTTGCTGCTTAGGAAAGGGTCTTTGGGGAGAGGGGTTTTTTTTTGTCTTTGTTTCTTTTTTGGTGCTGGGATCGAACCCAGGGCCTCACGCATGCTAGGCAAGCACTGTAACACCGAGCTACATCCCAGCCCAGGAAACGGTCTTTATACACAATGAATTTTTTTGATTGAATAAGTGGAGTTCTTGTATGTAAAAAGGCTGGGCAAAAACTGATTATTCTTTTGTTTCATTTGTGGAATATGTTGTTTTCATTTTAGATCCAAAAGAGATAGTTGGTGCCATGTGGAAGGTTTTGTTGGTGCTGCTGATGGTCAGCTCCACCGATGGGCTATTCCGCTCCATGTACCGAAATACTCGGGTTTCCGTGCCACGTACTGGAGATGCAGGACAGCCATTATTTCTCAGCCCTTATATTGAATCTGGGAAGATCAAGGAAGGTGAGTTTAAGTCAGAAAAACCACTGGATTATTTCCATGGATTTCTAAAGCACTTGTTCCGTAGGATGCAAAATACATTTCAGTATTTTTACTCAATAGTTTTATTTCAAATATTAGTGATTTGATGTCATCTGAGTTTTGAGCTAAAATGAAAGTCAGAGCTGGGTTGTTTATGTGGCTGAGTTGTGCATTTCTATGTATAATAGTAGCAAGTGCCTGTGCCCAGTAGACATTGGCAAGGCCACTACCAACCTTAAAACTTACTCATGTCAGTGGGGCATTCTGCATGAACCCACTTACGCATCTCAGTAAAAAGGGATGTATGCACATCGCACATGTGAAAACGAAAACAGAGAAGGCGGACCAGCTTGCCAAAGTTCACCCAAATGCCACCTGGTAGATACAGGCTTCATACCCGCACAGCTTTCTTCCATCTACTTGGCTGTGCCCCCTCACCTGCCAAGTTACCCACACAGCCTAGGCCTCAGTTTCCTTGTGAATAAAATGAAGGTGTAATAGCTTACCCAACCTGAGGAGATGTCATGAAAATCCAATTGGAAAAAGCAGGTGAAAACTCTTTGGATCCTGTAAATCTCTCTGCAAATATTGGTGTTTGCAGATGACTTTATTTATAGATTGTGAGCTTTCCTATTATAATTGTTAATAACAAACAGGGTTTCAATTGGTGCTATTAGAGACTGCAAGGTGTTACATGCATCTGCTCTTAACGCTTGTTTGATCTTAGGTAAGTCACCTTGTAGATAAATGACTCCATCTTTTTTTCTTTTCAGGGACCTCAGTAGACTTCTGAACTATAAAGTTGTATAGGAAGCTATTTTGAAGGAGTTGTTTATAAAGAGAAGCAGAGAAATGGGGTGGTGGCCAGAGGTTTCACTGAGGTCAAGGAAGGTCTTTAATGGAATAGAAGCATGTGTATGTTTGTTGATGAAAATGATGAGTGGACTTGAGTGAGGAGAGCATTGATTGGAGACTATGTTTAAACAAGAGAAAGACATGGAGGGATTGGTGCTTGCTCAGGAGCCAGAAGTTACTCTGGATAATTTATGTACCAGCTTACCAGCTGCAGAATTTGTGCCTGTGCAGCGGGTTAGCTGGTACATAGGATGAGAATGATACTGGAAAGTTTAGGGAAATGATCATTTTAAATATAGAAAATAAATCTAAACAATCTATAAGGAAATTTAAAATAAGAAAATTTCATTTGAAGTGTTCTTATAGCCAATAGAATGGGATCACTTCTGTTTTCTTTAAAATCAAGGTATTTTCATATTTTAAGGGTGTGTTTGAGTCTTGCTTGTATGTCTTTTCCTGAAATACACATTGGGTAAGATTTCACCATCTCTTTACTAAGGGAAGGTGAATGACCTTTGATAATGTATCAGTGTATTCTAAAAATAACTCATCGCCAGGCCCTGATGGCTCTCGCCTATAATCCTGGTTACTCAGGAGGCAGAGATCAAGAGAATCACGGTTCAAAGCTAACCACAGGCAAATAGTTTGAGAGACTCTATCATGAAAATGCCCAAAGTGAAAAGGATTGGTGGAGTGGCTCAAGTGGTAGGGTGTCTGCCTAACAAACCTGAAGCTCTGGGTTCAAATCCCAGTACCACCAAAAGAAAAAGGACTCATTTTTACTTGTAGAAAGGTCATGAAAAGATGGTTGCCTGACCACACGGGCTGATTAAGATGAATCTGAAATATCACCACCTCAGACTACCACATTGGGTCATGTGGGCTCACTTGCAGTCATTTCAGCTTCCTCAGTAAGTGTGGTACCGATGACTTAGTTCTGCTCACTAACAGTAAATCACACCAAACCTTTAATTTAGAGCTGAAAGGGAATTAAAGTAAGCATCATACCAAATCCTACCAATCCACATATGAAGACATCAAGGCCCAAATACCTTACGTTACATGCCCAAGGGGATGCAGTTAATAGAGATGGAGTAGCTGAGACGGGTGTAGCACCCAAGCCTGACTTCTGCCAGAAAGTTTGCCTGTTGTAATTTATTTTCATTTGTTTGAGAAGCTTGTGGCCTTCTGAAGTGACCAGGTATACACATATGAAACAATTAAAGAGTAAAGCAGTGCATATTAAAGTACCAAAAGATTCCCTCCGAGGTAGGTGAGCAGGCATTTTGAGAAGGAAACTGTTGGTTGACATAATTCAGGGAGAAAAATAGTGGTAGTTGTAGTAGCAAAAATAAATAATGAACATTTCACTATTATATTCATAGTACCTAGCACAGTACCTATATGTAATAGATGCAATTTAATTTTGGGTCCTATCCATGTGGCATGCATCATGTTTTATATCCATTAACTCATTTAGTCCTCAGAGCAACTCTAATGAAAAGTGTGTAAGTGTTGTTCCCATTTGTGGATGAGAAAACTGGGGCTTGTTAAAACTAAGTATCTTCCGTACAGGTGTAAAACTAGTAAGTAGAAGAGGTTGAATAATAACCTATGCCTGCCAGCCCCAGGGGCTATTCTATGAGCCACTGTGCAATGTGACCAGCTCCAGACTGGAGGGTGTTGAGTAAGATTTGGGTAAATAGAGAAAGGGCTGTATGCATACTGAATGAGGGAAACAGCTTAAACAAAGGCGTTAAGCATGGGTGACTATGCTGTGTGTCCCACATGTGGTAGAACCAAGTGAAAGGAATATTGTGGAAACCACATCTCTGATTTTTTGTTGTTGTTTATGAGCATTTCATGGCTATAGGCATAAGTAGAACTGGAGAAAGATTCCCAGGGAGATGGTTTCATCTTCTGTACTATGCCAAGCATGGTGATAGTTCTCTTTGAGTGACAACATATACTAAACCTGCGTGTAATGTCACTTTCTAAAGTTGTGTTATACAGTCAAGATCTTTGAATGGAATTTTAAGTGGCTGATCCAAAGTCAGTGCATCTGGGTATTCAGATGCAGCCTTGACAACATAATTAAGGATAATTTTATTCATCCGCTTTGCTGAAAGTTCAGGAAGCTCTGGACAGATGGTCAGCTCGATCCCCTAAATCCCTTTTGTTTATCGAGTCTGTCAAAACCCTAGGAATGTGAGTCTTAATGTCATAACAGAACATTTCTGAGATGAACAGTAGTTCACAAAATGACAAGAGAAATTTTTATTTTTTTTTAATCCCCAATTAGCTGGCTTAATGTTATGTAATTGTAATTGCATGTTTATTTTCTCTCCAGCTAGAATAAATCTTTACTTTCTGGAATAAAAGCAATGCAGGAGGCAAATTTTAACATGTTTACAAACAGTACATTTTCACAACTTTAAAGATTTTGTTCCAGTCCTAATTTGTTATTACTTATTGTCTGTCCTGGGGATGACCTGACTGTTTGTGAATTTGATGTGCACTCTGACTGGTTGGGTCAAACCCTTCTTTGGCCATTATCCAATCATTTAGAAAGTGTTAATGTCACAAACAGATAACAGCAGTTAATAGCAAAGAGGAAGCGAAATCACTTCAAAGAAAACCTTTTCCTTTTTTTAAAAACTGTTTTTTAAACACTTACATGATGAGTCACAGTGCCAAAAGATAAAAACTCCTACATCTTAGGAGTTTGTTTTGTACATTCCATTAATAGACTCTGGAAGGATGAACAGGACATTCAAAAATATATTTTAAAAAATCATGTTAGTTGAAAGAACTTTTTATTATTTTACTGTAATTCAATGAATGGAAATTTGAAATGTGAAACACTTTTTTTATGGACTAGAGAGAAGGACCTCTAAATTTAAGCTATCAACAAGATCCATCTTCCTTGGGGGGGGGTTGTAGAAATAAGCTAATCCTAGTGTAAGGTCAGGGTGGCCTGTTGTAGGTTATTCACATACATACTTACTCACGTGGCAATCCATTCACTAACATTCATTCATTAAAAAATATTTCTTGAGTATCTTAAGTGTGTGAATCAGCATGCTAGATCCCATGGGTCAAAGATAAATGAGACAAATTCCCTGCTTGCCAACAGCTCCAGATGGAGGACGGAAGGGGTGGCATGTACCTAACTACCAGGTAGCAGAAAGTCAATCTTAGCATCCCCAAAGGGAGGGACAAGTGAACCTCTGAATCAATCTAGGGCAGGCCAGCAGACCCTGTGCTGAGCTGGTCTCCGAGACAGATTGATTCAATCAGCTCTTGCCCATATCCCATTTTCTCAGCTCCTTTCTATTATATTTTCTCTTTTTTCTCATTGTACTTGGACCTCTCTCATTTTTCTCTGTTTTCTTTCTCAAATTCTCTTCTGCCCATTTACCTCTCTCTCTAGTCTGAATCTCAGCCATTTCTAATCCTTAGCTTTTATTCCTTTGTCCTTTTTTGGGAGGGGGGCAGGAAGTGTCTCTGCTTGATTTTGAGAAGATTAATGGTTTTGTTGAAAATATTTTAAAAGCTGTTCAGCCCTGGATGGTGATCTTTCTTTGGGTTAATGAAAAGTAGAAGTCAAGTAGGAGACAGGAAGAAACGACAGCTGGAGGGAAGAGTGGGGGGGAGGGCGGTCTAAAGAGAAAGTCAGCAAGCACCTCGCTTTCTCAGACACTTCGCTTTTCTTTCTTTACAATCCACCCTTCTCTTTTTCCTTTGCTGTTTTCTGATGGGGAGGCATCTGAATCCTTTTGCTGCTGCTATAATTAAATATCACAGATGGCATAATTTACAATGAACTAAGGTTTATTCTACTCATGGTCGTGAAAGCTGAGAAGTTGAAGACTGGGAACTGAATCTGTTGAGGTCCTTCTTGTTTCCTTTGCAGCGTCCTGAGGAAGCATAGACATTACACATTGATACAGAAGGTCCTAGCTCAGGTCTCTTATAAAGCCACAGTCCCCATGGATTAGGGACCTACTCTTACAGCTTCATTTAACCTTAATTACCTTCCAAAGGCCCTGCCTTCAAATACCACAGTCAGATTAAGTTTTTGCCCCCTTGATTACATTTCAATGTGAGTTTTGATGGAGACATTCTAGCCATGACAGGAGGGACAGGAGTCCCTGGGAACGGAACGAGAAGAGCTAGAGTTTGGATGAGCAACCTACCCTGGGAGAACTGGGCTGAGCCTGACGAAGGCGAATCTTCCAGACTTCTGGACTTCATTTGTGGTGGCCCACAGCTAATGATAACCACACCTCCCACTGACCAGACCCTTAGTACATGTCCACCTCCCTGCTGGGCACATTCATAAACAGTTTTTCATTTGATCCTCCTGGAAAACATGTGATAGGGAATCAGTGTTTAATGAAGCCACTTCTGGAGGCTCTAGTCAGGATTCCAAGTTTGTCCAACCAGGAAGCCCACACTCTTCTTCTATGCCAGCCCAGCAGGACCCTCAGGCCTCTGCCCATTGAAGCACTTCCTTTGTCCCCACCACCACCTCTGTTCCTAATCAGTGCAGGCACTTCACAGATGACAGTAGCTCTGTGTACTGGCTTGTCTTTACAGGTTTGCACACAGGGACTCTTGTGTTTCTGTGGACACATAGGAGTCCAACTTTCATAATGGAAGCTGAAGCATAGGGAAGCTGGGTGCCTAGCCATAGGGCTACCCAGCTGGTCATAGTGACTAAGCTCAGCAAAGTACTAGGGAAAAGGAACTGTATTCCAGCAGAGCCCATTTAAAAGAGGAACTTGTGCCCTCAAAGCCACAGCGTGCTGGGGACAGTTGAGCAACTAGCTGTGAGGGTCAAAACCCTGATTTGTAGCACCGACTCCCTTGGGCATAAAGGATCTCACTGAGGCTGATTTCTCTGATGTGGTAGAGTTGGGAAAGGTGTTTGCACAGTCTCATAGTTGGTGGCATGTGTGGAGGATCAAGGTTCGGGACCTCCTAGCCAGTCTCTAACTTACAGTTTTTCTTGAGCGATCACTCTTTACTTGAACACATTCTTGTCTCCTCATCCATACAAAGTGCCCCTTCTACTGAGTCCCCTACACCCTACTACTTTCTGTTTCTTCTTCACTCCTTTTCCTAATCACTACATCTCCCTCTTCCTGGCACTTAACACCTTATGACTAAGTCTAGGGAAAAACCCTGTGGCAGGATGGGGGTGTGAACATCCCTGCAGTTGGACTGTTAGGTGTACATACCAGTTCTACTTCGCCAGCTGTGCAACCCTCGGCAAATTACTAAACCTCTCTGTGCTTCACTTTCTCATCTGTTAAAGTGGGGATAATAATTACAGCTCTCACATAATGTAAAGTCCTTGGTACTGTAACCTTGTAGTTGTTAGCTCTTTCTGGTTTTGTTTTCTGGGCATCCTCAACTGTCTGAGCATTACCTCTTTCTACCTTCCCATCCCTGTCCCTTTGGCTGGCATAAGAAAATCATGACCTCTGCCCTCTACGACTTCCTTATGGTCCTATTTGGCTCTCCCTGAGTAGTCACGAAGTCACCCTCAGGCTCTTGCCTGCCTCTCCCCTCCATTTCCCCCTCCCCCAGTCACCATGTACCTCATCCACTGCACTTAACAGACATGGCAGGCACTTGTCTTCATGAAAATGAGAGAGTGGGGAGCACAGGCCTCCCCAGGACAGAAGGACAGCCCTTCCGCTGTACTTTTTTTCCCTGCACGCCACCTCTTTTAGGCCAAGTGACTTTATCGTTCCCCTTTCCCTGTGGCCCAGCGTGAACACCTTGCTTTACTGAGATGATTTTCTTTTCTTATTTAAGCAAAAACATCTTATACAGCTCATAAAATATTTTTGGATCAAACCCCCTAAAAGGCTTAAAACTTTCTCTTGTCCTTGCATCTGTGGGATAGGAGGGAGGAGGCAAGAATTTGCTGTGTTGCTACCTCTCCTGCCAGGTCCCTCAGAGCCTCCCTGATCACCTCAGACCACATCTGGCTGCTGGAGGAAGTCCCACAGAGGCTGAGAAGGTTTGTGTGGTATTTTCTTCTAATCCTTGGGTAAATTTTTTTTTCTCTCCACTAGGGAAAAAACTGAGTTTGGTCAGTCCTTTTCCAGGAAAGAACGTGAAGAGTTATGCTGGCTACATCACTGTGAATAAGACTTACAACAGCAACCTCTTCTTCTGGTTCTTCCCAGCCCAGGTAGGCCCATGAAGGCACCCAGCCAATGGGCTCAAGAGCTGGCCAGGCCATTGGCTCCAGGGGGAAAATGTTAGCCTACAGACTCACAGCTTTAAAAAAAAAACAACACCTTTTATATTTTTTGTCTAAAAATAAGTGCTAGCATCTCTGCCTGCGTGGCATTCCTGTTTACAGGCAGGAAACAAGTGTTTATGGAGGTGGAGTGGGGGATCCAACTTTTGAATTTCTTGTAGCCTTATTTGGAATATTAATACTACCACCCTATTCCTGTCACCGTCTTCCTCCTATCTTCTAGTTGTTGTTTTAGTCTAAAAATACTTGGCACAGGAATGGGCAATGAAAGTCCAAGAGGAGTGACTGAAGCTACCAGGTAATGCATAGCTAAGCATGTGTACATATCACTGTGCTCTGCTTTTGCTGCCCATCCTGTGGGCTGGAGGGGTCATTTGTCTGCTCAGGTCCCTAGAGACCCAGGTGGGAATGTGTCTAGGTCACTCGGTACTTCTGCATGAATCCAACCCTTTATGCTTAGGGAGGCTGTTGTGGTTATTGGTAGAGGTGTTGAGATGCAGATGCAAATTCTATCCCACCATAGAATAATTTACTATTTTCATTTGCCAAATTGGATTTGCTTTAGAAGGCGAAAAAGCAAAGAAAAAGCTATCCTTTTGGAGGGTGGCATTCATGTTTGCATATAATTTGCATATAGCAATGTAGCATATATAATAACTGGGTAAATTGCTTATTCCAGGGTCATTTTCCAGTTAATTTGTTTTCATTGATACTGTCGGATTATATTTTCCTGACTTCCCATTCCTGCTTTCCTTACCAGATGACCTCTGATCTAGTTACCCCAAGCAATGCGTTGTGGGGTGTGTGAGAGTAGATTATGTGAGAAATGAAGAGTTCCAGATACTTTTTGGCTGGGGTCCTAGTAGTCTTCAGACTGTCACCTTCTCTGGAAGGTATTCTGGGACCATATAGAGTTTCTCATTCATCCTCAGTGTAACTATTGAGGAAGGCAAAGAAGGTGTGAGATCACAAAACATAAGAATATGTTCACCCTCAGGCAGGGCAAGTGCAAGGTCATCACCAGAGTGTGAGTGTCTTCCATCTCCTGGGGGTGCCTCCTGTTGGTGGAGCCCAGCTGGAAGCCGGAGGGCCAGGGAGTTTGTGGTACAGTCCATAGATCTTTCCCCCTTCAGTCAGAGCAGAGAGCAGGGTGGAGAATGGACCTGCAGGAGCAAACAGGAAAATAACCAGCCCAGCTGTCTTAAGGGGGCATGACAAATTAAGTCTAGAAATATGCCTCCTTATAACAGTTGGCAACCTCTACTTCCTGCTCCTCCCTCCTCTCCCCTATCCCCTTTCTTCCTCCTCCTCCTCCTTCTGCTTCCTATTGTATTTATTCCAGATGTCAGGTTTATACTCAAATCCAAAGGTGATTTGAAGATTTCTATGAGCTCCTAGCAAGTTTTTGTTCTTAGAATCATCATTTTCCTGGATTTACTACTTACATGTATTTCTTCTCTCCACACCTTGTTAACCCATCTTTTTTGATTTTCCCCTCACAACCCCAAGTCTCTAAAGTTTCATATTTGACTATCTTGGGAAATACAAATATTTATTTATTTAAAATATTTCTTTGTGGTGAAAACATTTAAAATCCTTTCTTCTTGCTTATTAAAAGTTTCCAGTACATTATTTTCTATAGTTATACTATTTTGCAATAGAACACCAGAATGAACTTCTAACTGGAACTTAGTACCCATTAACCTTTCTCCAGGCTTCCCTACACCCCTACTCTCTCCCCAGGGCTGATAACTATTCTACTGTCAACTTCCATAAGATCATTTTTTTAATATATTTCACACATAAATGAGCTCATGTAGCATTTGCACTTCTGTACCTGGCTTGTTTCACTTAGCATAATGTCCTCCAGTTCCATCCATGTCACAAATGACAGAATCTCATCTGTTTTTTAATGACTGAATAGTATTCTACATGGTATGTATGCCACATATTCTTATCCATTCATCAGTTAATAGATACTAACATGACTCCATTTCTGGTGGTGGAAATATCAATTAGGACAAGCATTGTTGAAAACAGTATGGAGTTACTCAAAAAATTAAAAATAGGCCCTGCACGATGGCTCACACCTATGGTCTTAAGTACAAGGGAAGCCATAGGTAGGAGGATCACGGCTGAGACTGGCCCTGGGTAAAAACACAAGACCCTACCTAGAAAATAAAGCAAAAGATGGGCTGGGGGCATAACGGAAGTGGAGAGCACCTCTGTAGCAAGACAAGAGGCTCTGAGTTCAAATCCTGGTACCCACCACCCCAAAATATTTAAACAATGGAACTACCACATGATCCAGCAATCCCCCGGCAGGGTATATATCCAAAGAAAATGAGATCAGTATGTCAAGAAGACATCTGTCCTCCCATGTTTATTGTAGCACTATTCACAATAACCAAGAAATGGAATCAACCTATGTATTGTGTTAAATTTTATGCCTTTCACAAACTGTTTTGTACTTAAGAATTTTTATATTACTTCTATCAATATCATTGAATGCAGTCATTTATTAGTACTTATTAGTGTTATAAGAATTACTAATTCTTATAACAAATTGCCACAAACTTGTTGTCTTAAACCAATGCAGATTTTATTATTGCCCAGTTTTATAGGTTATGGGTCGGAACCAGGTCTCGGTGGTCTAAAATCAAGGTGTGCCAAAATCAAGGCTATGATCCTCCTGGGGGCTATAAGGGAGAATGTGTTTCCTTGCCTCTTGCCATTTCTAGAGGCTGCCTGCATCCTTGACTCATGGTTCCTTCCCCAGTCTTCAAAGCCTGCAAGGGCAGGTTGAGTCCTTCTGACATTGGATCACTGGCATTCTCCACCATCACTACACCCAGCTAATCCAGGGTAATCTTATTTCAAGGCCAATTGATAAACCACCTTAATTCCATCAGCAACTTTAACTCCTCTTTTCCCCATAGCCTAACACAGTCACAGGTTTTGGGGATCAGGATATGGACATCTTTAAAGAAACTATTCTGTGTAAAGTAGCTACTTGACAAAATTTGCTTAGATGAGTGACTGAGAATCAATCAGTGATTCTCAGATTTTATTGTATTGTGTTTCACTTCCCTCAGAGGTTCTGATTTATAATCCCACAAGTTGCAGAATTACCAGGCGGATCTTATGTTAAAAAACCACTGCTCCAGTGTATGAGTCACCGCCCTGCGCCCATAGCTTCTGACACCCACATTTACCCAGAAATCAATGTCCAGAGCAGCCAAACCTAGATAGAGGGGGTGTGCGCTCCCCAGCACCTTGGGGAGTGAGGGTTAGAATGGCAGTGTAGTCTAGAGAGGCAAGTGCAACCTTTGGGGGTTAACCTTCCTAGTCCTGCTTGGCAGGACAGAGGGCTTACCCTCTGTCACACCCCACCTTCCTCTCACTCACTGCTCTCTGACCCTCACCCAGCTGGGGAAGCCTGATTTCCTCCTGTCTTCTGCCTTATTTCCTGGTTATACACCACTGAGTTCCTCACTTAGTTCTGAATGCTGAATCTTCTTTAGTAATGATCCAGATTTGTAAAAAGAGCAATTAATGACAGAAGAAGAGATGAGACAGAAACAAAAAAAATCCAGGTTTTTCTTTCTTCCATTGCCTCTTCATAGATTTTCTCTATAATACAGGGGATTTTCTAGGACAGTAGAGCTGCTCTGGGGGAGGGGTATAGATTCTGCATGTTCTACTGGGTCTGAAACCTTTTGTATTAAACAATGGTTGGGCAGTTAGTTGGTTGTAAGATTTTCCCCCTTAACTAAATGAAAACCTAGCTGTACAACCACTGACCAGATTCTGTTCTTTTGGGTCTAGCTCTGTAGTCATAAACTATCTAAGATGATCCCAGAAGACATGAACATGAGGCAGTTACAACAGAAAAGATTAGGTCTTTCAACACATTGTTCTATTGGAAAAAACAGACAAGTTTCAGGTAGATGGGCAGAGTTTTATGAAAAGACTGTACTGCAGGTGTGGTGACAGGTGTCATCCCCTGGCAGCGGGGTTAGATTATTCCTCACTGGGAAGGTCACATGCAGAGTCCAAATATCTGAGGCTTCCAGCTATATATTATGGGACAGGACCATTTTGGGTGAAGCAGATAAAACCTATGAGAAAGAGAATCAGTGGTCACTGAGACAAGGGTGAGTCCCTTTCATTTGGCAGAAATATGAGTTCCTTGCATGTCACAGGGAAGCAGCTGACATTGTCATCAGGAGAGAAATGACCCTTTAAAAAAAACTGAAGGTAGAGAAAATAGAGATACAGGAAGGATGACACACTTGTAATATCCTCTGAGTAATTTTCTGGGATGCTGTTTCTCAAATTAGTTTGTTTTCCTGTTATTTCTGTGAGACTCCCCTGTTATTGTGCACAAATCAGTGTGTAATGAATTCCAGAACTCAAAACTGGTGTGCAGTGGGAATATCGCAGATGAAATGAGTAGGCATTCTGCATGGGGTAAAAAAGCATAATGAAGCCAATAAAAATGCAAAAATAGTCAGGCAGGACCTGCACTCTGCAAATTTGAATCCCTTATTTGCATGAAAGGATCTGGGTGGGAATGTTGGCGGGAATTCTTCCTATATAAGCTGCTCCGTCCCCCTGCTCAGGGAGCTCTGGCTTGACTTGCTTTTGGTTAGAGCTGCATCTCCCTGAAGCAGCTGTTAATAAATAATTTTTTTAAAAGGGTCGTGGTGGTGGCTTACACCCATAATCCCAGCTACTCAGAAGAATCGAGGTTCAAGAACAGCCTGAGCAAAAAGTTAGTAAGACCCCATCTTAGCAAATGAACTAGGAATGGTCCTAGCTACTTGGAAGGCCATAAGTAGGAGATCATGGTCTGAAGCCAAGGCTTGGCAAAAGCTTGAGACCCTATCCAAAAAAAACCAACTAAAGCACAAAAGGGCATATGT